GAGGGAGGGAAGGAGGGGCGGGGTTTCCTCGACGTTCCGTCCCCCTTCCTGGTGCTCGGAGGGCGCGTGGTGTCATGTTCTTTTTTGTCGTTTGTACCATTGCTTTATCGATCGACCTTGAGGATTAAGGAAGGTCTTATTTGGCCCCCTCATCCCTTCGCCCTGGTCTTTGGCCGTCCTTCCTCATCCTCTTCCCCCGAACTCGCCTCGTCTTTTGCCGACTGCTCACACCTTCCTTTTCGTGTCTTCCTTCCTCATCACCTCATACCTATCATGGCCACTCAGAGGTGCAATGGTACACCTGCAGCTCCGACGGCGAGCTCGTCCCTGTCAAGTCCACTTTGTTGGAGAAATTGGAGGGACAGTAGAGGGAGCGAGCGATGGGCGGGTTTGTCGGTGGAGCACGTGGAGGAAGGCGAGGAGCGCGTGATCGAACACCGAGAGGGGGAGCCCCGGGGGGGTCATGGAATCAATGAAAAAAGCCTTCCTTTTGCGGGGAGAGGACGCGACGTGCGGTGCAGAAGGTGGCCTGCGGTCACTGGAGAGGTACGGGTAGAGAGACTATGAGAGGATGGGAGGGAGAAGGAGAAACATAAGACACAGTCGGCTCCATGCGATAGCATGAGTGCAAGGCATGTGTAGAAAAGGTCGCGTGATACAGGGAGAGAAAAGCGCTAGCAAATGTCATAGAGTGGTGGATCGTGCGTGGTATGCCCGGAGTCGGTGCGCGAGGAGAGGGTCTAGAGAGAATGAGAAAAACGGTAGGGATGAGGCCGCCGTACGGCGAGAAGGGGCGGGGATGGCGCGATGAAGACTTCTTTTCATCCAGGTTGCATGCTGCGTGTATGTATTGGAATAGGTCAAAAGCCTCTGTCTCGTGGCGAAGGACCAAGGTGCTCGTTTTGAGCAATGCGTCATGTGCGAGAGGACCACAGCACGTACGTCAATTTTGAGGAAACCTTCAGATTGAAAGAACAAATACAGAGACCACAAGGGGTGACGTTGAGATTCCACTTTTCCGTCGCTCAGAGCTTCTTATCTAAAGGCAACGAGCGAGGCTTTTTTAAATCTATTTAGTGTGTACTTTTATCGCTTTCGGAGGACGAAGTCAAACCTCAGCTTTGTGTTTCTCCCCCTTTAATATTGACAGAAGAGCCACGCCTACGTGAAAACAGCGACTGCTCCCGTGGAGCATAGCAGTACCTTTGCATATGCAACGTGCGCGATTTATATAAATGCGTCGAATAGATTGATCAACCTCAGACTCTGACAAGAAACTCCTGATATTCGGGTTTCATCTCCTGTGGCATCCTTAGAAAGAGAAATGTGAGATTTCAAAGACGGCGTCAATGCGCGTGGTTTACCGGGAGGGGGGCTACATAATGATAACATAAACTACGAGTGAGGAGAATTTAGGAAGATTTCGATACGAAATTCGACGTGCAAACCTTCGACGGTGTCAAAAAGCAACAATTTGTTTTTCAAAATTAAATTATCTTCAAGTAATTTAGAAAAAATCATAACTCTTCTTCATCCAGACGTTAACGTAGTAAGTGAAAGGATGGAGCGGTCGAGCCGGTGCGTTCTTCATCGATAGGAAGAGCAAATTTTTAACCTTAATATGTCTTTATCTTCATCAGCAAATGCCAACACCCTGAATCAACACTTATCAAGATTGTAGACATTTCTTTACACACACCCTGGCGGCCATGTAGGAATATGTATCCCACAAAATTGATTTTTTAATAACCTCCCCCTTTGTTCCTCGCTCCTCCTTTGCTTCAAGCCACCAACCTCCTCCCCATAAAAATATACCTTGAAAGGACACAATTTCGTACGAAGTCATGCATGGCTCCGTGCAGACGTTGGTGCTTTTCAGTGGGCAAGTGTAAACGAACACTAATGACGATTGAACCCAGCTTGCATTGTGATGAAGCTTAATTGCTCTGTTCGACAGATCTACTTGCTACGTTTCTTTCTCTAATAACCAACCTTGTCCAAACCTTTCAAAAATATAAACCCCAGACAAGACAGTATCTCGGCATCAAATCACGGTACACGTACAACCTCGTCGGGGGTGAACGCGACATCATCGCCCCCGAAAAAACTGGCAAGGCATTCCTCTTGCAGCTGTCTAGTGCCCTTTCTTCTCCTTGCGACGATTTCCTTCCTGATCGACCTTGGCAGTACCGTCCAATTTTTCACTACAATTCGTAGCATTATCCAATATCAACAAAATCAATTGCCAAGCTTTATATCTACTACATCGTTGCAACCTTATCGGAGGCTATTGCGTGCCAGGCACGCGTTTGGCCGGCGCCCCTCCTACCTTCCTCAATCAGGTATACATACGAGGGGAAATCGTAAGTTTTGAAGCCTTCATTTAAAACCTGATATCAAATCTTGCATTTACATGCCTCTCTCGCCATCCCTAGCGACGGGGTCGGCTTTGTCACTTTCCTTCTTTCCTTTAGGCTGCGGTCTTCCATCCTTTCCTGGCCTGGTGCCCCGGCAGGATTCGCGGATGACGTCATACTTCAAGCAGCCTGCGTTGGGAGCGCAGAGAAGCACGTGGATGGCGGAGGAGGAGGGAGGGAAGGAGGGGGAATGTGCTGTGAGGGATGGAAAGGGAGGAGGTGAGGTTGTGGAGGTGGATGTGGAGGAAGCGGGGTCACCCTTGATGGGGGGAGAAGGGCAAGGGGAGGGAGGGAAAAAGCGAAGAATGAAGGTAGAAAAGGAGAAAGATGGCTGCGTGCAGAAGGAAAAGAGAGAAGGGGGAGAAGTCAACGGTTTGGGAGCGGCTTTTCAACGGCACACGAGTGCCTTCCACGAGGTCTCCCAGGTAGGAAGGCGGGCAGGCAACAGGCGGGCGGGATGACGACAGAGGGATCGGAGGAGGGAGTGGACGGAAAGGAGAGGAATGGGAGAAAAAAAGGACGCTTGGGCAAGGAGGACGGCGATGCAGAGAACGGTAGATTCAGCACCTCCCTCCCTCCCTCCCTCC